TAACTTATATGCAGAATACATCATGCGAAAGGCCAGACTGGAGGAATCCCAAGCCGGAATTAAGATTGCCGGAAGAAATATCAACAACCTCAGATATGCAGATGATACCACTTTGATGGCAGAAAGTGAGGAGGAATTAAGGAACCTTGTAATGAGGGTGAAAGAGGAGAGCTCAAAAAGTGGTCTGAATCTCAACATCAAAAAAACTAAGATCATGGCCCCTGGTCCCATCACGTCCTGGCAAATAGAAAGGGAAGATATGGAGGTAGTGACAGATTTCACTTTCTTGGGCTCCATGATACTGCAGATGGTGACAGCAGCCCCGAAATTAAAAGACACCTGCTTCTTGGGAGGAAAGTGATGACAAATCTTGATAGCGTCTTATAAAGCAGAGACATAACCTTGCCAACAAAAGTCCGAATAGTCAAAGCTATGGTTTTTCCTGTAGTGATGTACGGAAGTGAGAGCTGGACCATAAAGAAAGCTGACCGCTGAAGAATTGATGCTTTTGAATTGTGGTGCTGGAGGAGGCTCTTAAGAGTCCCCTGGACTGCAAGGAGAACAAACCTATCCATTCTAAAGGAAATCATCCCTGAGTGCTCACTGGAAGGACAGATCCTGAAGCTGAGGCGCCAGGACTTTGGCCATCTCATGAGAAGAGAAGACTCTCTGGAAAAGACCCTGATGTTAGGAAAGTGTTGAGGGCAAGAGAAGGGGACGACAGAGGATGAGGTGGTTGGACAGTGTCATTGAAACGACCAACATGAATTTGGCCCAGCTCCGGGAGGCAGTGGAAGATAGGACAGCCTGGCGTGCTCTGGTCCATGGGGTCACGAAGAGTCGGGCATGACTAAACGACTAAATAACAAAAACAATACATGTTATGGTTGAGGTATCTTGTGTGTCTAAGTAAAAATAATTAGACAGCCTTTTATTGTTTGTTTTCACTTAATTTATTAAAAGTTCATGTATTTTACACTGTAGACCCAAAATTAAGCATGAAAATATCAGCAAGGCTAGTTTTTAATTCTCTAGGGAATGGTGTATTTGTGGATTAACCTGTAGTTTAAAAATGTACACGTCTTTTCCCCATATTCCTAATATTGTCTCTCCCAATACATATCCCAATAGATTACTTCATCCCTATAGATTTAATCCTGATCTTTCTCTGAAGATATTTGGGCAACATGCATGGATGTCACCTGCCTGTTTTGACCTTACAACAGGTCTCTGAATTAGATTAATTTGAGAAGTGTTTGCTGGGTCAAAATTACTCCTTTAATGGAGGGGCAGAGATTTAAATCTGTGTTTTCCCTCACTTAGTCCAGTACTGCAGCCACTACTTCAAACTGGGGAACATGTCACATCTCTTCAACCAATAAGGCTAACTGGTAGCCCCTAAATTGTGCATTAAATGATTAGTTTCTGAGTCAATTGACTGCAAAACATAGTTCCGTTTGCTGCATAAATATCAGGGAAGCTGCTTTTCCAATTATTTATACTGTTTTTAAATCTAAGCATCATATACAAACACGCATGTCTGCATTCTTTTTACAGGTTACAGGTTCTCAGCTGTCGGCATCAGGTAACAAGTGTTCAATCCTGATCCTAGCTGACAGTGAGAATGAAAAGAGCAAATGGGTAGGAGTCCTGAATGAATTGCACAGGATTTTAAAGAAGAACAAGCTCAAAGACCGCTCAGTCTACGCTCCAAAAGAAGCCTATGACAGCACCTTGCCCCTCATTAAAACCACCCAGGCAGCTGCAATCATAGGTACGTTTTCAGCAGCCTACAATAACGTTAGACTGTTCCTAATGTTGACGTGGAATGGTTGTGAAAACCGTTTTGTTTTGTTCCTGTTTTGTTCTATCCATGTTGAAACATTTAAGTTATCTGTCAGTTTTGTTTTGTATAGTTCTGTTTTGAAGATGATTATTACTCTTTTTAATTAAAAAAAGAGGTACATTACACTGAGATACATTAGTTTCTACTCTGCACTGTAAATATCACAGATAGCATACTTTATAAAGAACAGGAGGAAATACAAAAATGCCATTTCAGTTAATTCTATAACAGATTTATAGACTTCTGGGAGTGATCACCTTTTAAACTATGATATGTAACAGCTGAAAACCTGTTGGCATAACACACCTGCAGAAGATATAATCAGCAGGGGTGATTTTTTTTTCTTTTACTTCTTACTTCTGTCCTATGCCTCCTGTGTAACCTTTTTCAACTCACAGGAGCTGCAGGATAGGAGGAAGAAGTATTTACTGAAAATCATTATCACTGGGGTGCAGAAGGGCAGGGGAAGAAGGAAAATCCTAATTCTGCCAGCACACTATTGAATCTTGGTCTCATGGTTTTGAGAAAGGTGGGAAGTTTATTTATAGGTGTTGGACGTTTATGATTCTTCTCAGATTTCTAGTTTTTACTAGTTCTTAGGTGAGTGGTTCATCGTACTCTTGTTAAAATTTGTTTCTTACTATCTTTTTATTGCAACCTTAGTTCTTTACATAAGTACTCTGAATAATAACAATGCATTATTATCATACATTTCTCTTGACTGAGGGGCAATTAATTTGTAACATTAAAAATGGATAAATAAAAGTGAATACTCAATTCTGTTATCAATATGTTGTTTTCATTTTATCTAATCTACTTTCTTATTATTCTCTTTCCCCTTGTCAGCATATGTTATATTTTTTCCTTTTTTTAAAACTATTTCAGATCATGAAAGGATAGCTCTGGGTAATGAAGAAGGGTTATTTGTGGTGCACGTTACCAAGGATGGTAAGGAAACATGGCTTATGTGGGTTGGTAAATCACAAACGGCATATTTTGTTCCATCTATTCCTTCTACTTCCAATCTATTATCAGTTATATTTCTAAAATTACTTTAATAATTTGCAATCATACAGCATTTCTCTGTTCAAATTATTCTCTGTTGTTTCCTCCTAACTCAAAAGTGTTTCAATCTGTGTTGCGTTGACAGATTGGAATTCACACTACTATCTTGCAACTGTCCTCATTCAGTGCTGTTAGCAGCTATGAAAGCCTAATTCTGGGCAGTCCAGTAACTGCAGCAGTTTCTGTTGTCTGATTACGATAGGTGGTATTAAATATGTCTGTAGCTGTATTAAGAACAATAGTTTTTCTCATCACCAGTAGATATGGATGTGTTATAACCCCAGCTTTATTTACAAAATTGCTAGATTCTTTCCTTTTCACACAAACTTTGTGCAATACCAGAAATGCTATAGCTGTTACAGAAAAGTTGGTTATCATAACAGGACAAAGCCTGTGGGGACAGTAGAAGTCAAAACAGGGTAAAAGAATAATGAAAAGGGATAGCTTATTAGTACCAGGTAGAAATGAGGCTTTGGATGCTCAGGAACATCTTTGTTTTTCTGATATTACAAAGAACCAAGAGGGCTAGTAAGGAGTCTGCAGCTGATAGATTGGGCTAGGTTTGGGCACTGTCTTTATATTTAAAGCTAAAATGGCAATATGTTGGTAATCTGGCAGTATCTCCATTATATTACATCAGTGGGCAGAATATATTACCTCATCCTTTGTTTTTGCAGAGATAATTCGTGTTGGTGACAACAAGAAAGTTCATCAAATTGAGCTCATCCCAAGTGAACAGCTTATTGCAGTGATCTCAGGACGAAACCGTCATGTGCGGCTGTTTCCTATGACAGCCTTGGATGGACGAGAGACTGACTTTTACAAACTGGCAGAGACAAAGGGTTGTCAGACCATAGTTTCTGGACAAGTGCGCCATGGAGCTGTTACTTGCCTGTGTGTGGCAATGAAAAGACAGGTCCTCTGCTATGAACTAAACCACAGCAAAACACGACACAAAAAGATTAAAGAAATCCAAGTGGCTGGGAATGTCCAGTGGATGGCAATCTTTAGTGAGCGGCTCTGTGTGGGCTACCAGTCAGGATTCTTAAAATATCCTTTGCATGGAGAAGGAAACCCACATAGTTTGCTGCATCCAGATGATCACACACTGTCATTCATTGCACAGCAATCAACCGATGCCATCTGTGCAGTTGAAATCTCAAATAAGGAATACCTGCTGTGTTTTAGCAGCGTGGGGGTTTACGTAGACTGCCAAGGTCGAAGGTCCAGGCAGCAGGAACTCATGTGGCCTGCAACTCCTTCCTCTTCCTGTAAGTTCATGTCATTGGATTAATTTAGTGTAGCTTTATTTATTCCCATGGGCTTGAGACAAAGCAACTATTCTATTAGATGTCCTATATGTCAACATGTTTCAATGGAGATACCATGCAAAAAGTTAGCTATATTATTTACATAACCTGGTGCTCAGTATGAACACTAACATAGATATAATGAGGTGCTAAATTTTTTTCAGTGGGTGGCTTTTTTGCTGTGTTCGAAAACATTTTAAAAAGTAAAAATAGAAATAGTGGTACCGTAGTGACTAACAAATTTATTTCAGTGTGAACTGTTGTGGATTATAACTGGAATAAATCTTTTTGTCTTTTAAGGTAATACTGGGTTTGTTGGTTTGTTTGTTTTAATTCTGTTGTGGAAGCATTTGCAGTTAGAGAGAAAGTTCCACTAGCAGCACTTCTGTCTAACTAATGGTATGCAAAAGGGAATCTTAATTGGAAGGCCACTAGTTCTAAATGCCATCATAAAGGGAAACTGAGGGAATACTAAGCCAGGAAAAAATAGTTTGGTAAATGGTGGCCAAAATCCTCTGGCATAGTTAAATTGGTAGAAAGCAAATGACACAAGTCAGTGGCAAATTCCTGCTGAGTTCCCAGCTTGGGTTCCTGGCTGCATGCTAAGTCACCGTACAATGAGGAGTCCAGGCAGGGACACGGAAATTAGCAGCAATTTGCAACTGCAAATTACATTGTCTTCCTTCTGCTGACATAACAACATGAGTATTTTAGCCAATGTCTCTTTCTGTGTTATAATAATTAATTCTTTATCTCAGAATCAAAAAAAAAAATTACCAATTCTAAAAGCTTGATTTTAAAACTTAAGTATTTGGCACTATCATGTTAAAGACTATAAAAATGGATAATGTTAAAACTAGAATGTGACAAAGATCTGTATTTCAGATCATAAGGATAAGGATTCCTGTGACTCACAAGGATGTTTGGAGAAACAAATCACTAGGGATTTGTTTGCATTCTTTATCAACACAGTCTCTGTAATGATTCGATTCCCCTTGCACCCTTGGGAGTTTCAGGGAATCGTTATGAGTCAGAAAGATGCAGTGGGGCACCTTTCAGAGGTGTGAAGAAACTGCACAGGTACAGCATGGAGGTAAGGTGGCTGCTCTACGGTCCTGCCATTTGACAGCTCCCCATCCCGTAATTTGGCTTGGGGGATTCCCACCAAATTGCGGACTAAAGTTATTATTTCCCAGAAGTCCCATCCCTACTAATGGATTTGTACTTAACAAGGATCTCTTTTTCAGATCCATACTGAACATTTGTAATCAATATTTTTCAATAAATATCAAAAGGATTGGTATGGAAATTCTAATTTAAAAAAAAAGTTTCATTATAATTACAAGAGGTTTACTGCAAAGTTTACTATTTGATAATGATAAGCGTGTATTTGTCAAATTTGTTTTTCTGTTTTTCTTTAGGTTACAATGCACCATACCTCTCAGTATACAGTGAAAATGCAGTTGATATATTTGATGTGAACTCAATGGAGTGGATTCAGACTATCCCCCTCAAGAAGGTAACCAACACACTATACTGCATGCTAGACAGTTTAGTTAAGGCATTAATAATTCTAAGCAAGCATATTAGGTAAGCTCAGGTAATAATGAAAATCCGTATGTCAATAAATGCAATCTCTAGAAGAAAGGGATGACATCAGAACTAAAATTATGTTTAGTCATTACTTACTGGTTGTAGCATATGAGAAGAGCAGTGTCTGTGAAGAGCAGAGGGGACTCTTCTTCATGGTCTCTGTGATTCACACTAATGAGTAGTTCTTTTCCTGCACATATGTCCTTGGAATCTTCCAGGGCCTAGAAAAAAGTTGTTAGTCCCACCCTAGCACTTAGCACATGTTCTTCCACCCATCAGCTAACACTCAGTTCCATTTTGCCTGCAGTACCTCACCACTTCTCCAGAGCCTGACTCACTCAAATATTTGTGTAAATAGTTTTTTCTTCAACTTACTTTTCTTCTGTCAGCCCACTATTTCTCCCCTAACCAAAAAAGAGAGAACTGAGTTTACTATTACGGTGTTACTATCTTCTATGGCCTCTTTGACCCCATTCAGAAGTGTGAGACTTGTATATAAAATGTCCCTCACAGACAGACACTTCAGTTGCCTCTTCTGCCTTAGAGAGAGTAATCAAATATAGTCTTGCCAGTGTTGTAAAAAGTTAGCAGAAGTCACAGTTAGAAACTGACAGTTGAGACTCAGATTGTACCTTCAGGGAAAGTCGCTGCAAGCAGTGAAAATAATCTCAAAGGAGATCACAGAACCACCAGTCTCAGTGTTCAAGACTCTGGCCTATGGAATCCACCCAGATTGTCATGAATCATAAAAATCATAAAACCATAATACATAAAAAGGAAGCCATGGTAAATTAGAACCAGGCCATAGATGAACCATCAAACATTAAGACAAAAAAGCTTGTATGTATTTTTAGCCATTAGCTTTGGGTCAAAAAGATGTGACATGATGGCTCATTATCAGCTGATTCCCAGGGGTGTAGTTTTTCATTACTGAGCCACAGCAGCCAAGAAGATTGTGCCACAGTGTGTGTGGGATGCAGAGAAAGTGTTGGATGATGAGGTCCCAGGCCATTTAGGGCTTTAAACTCTGCCACTAGAAGCTTGACCAACACTAAGATTAGCAGCCCAGTTGAGGCTCTTGACGTTTAATCACTATGTTACTCTGGACATTAAATGAGCTATCCAAAGTGCTGAACTTATTCAAGGGCTAGCAATCAGTACTTCCCTGGCTTCTGTAAAGTTTGGATTAAAACACGAAGTGGATTCACCATCACTAGAATCACAAGCATCTATAGCAGAGGGTTAAACGGCAGAAGCCTCTGTGCTGCAAGGTTGGAAGACCTGTAGTTGTAAGATTGAATCCACATGACGGAGTGAGCTCCCGTCGCTTGTCCCAGCTCCTGCCAACCTAGCAGTTTGAAAATATGCAAATGTGAGTAGATAAATAGGTACCACCACGGTGGGAAGGTAACAACGTTCCATGTTCCTATCACGCTAGCCACGTGACCACGGAAACTGTCTATGGACAAACGCTGGCTCTGCGGCTTGGAAACAGGGATGAGCACCGCCCCCTAGAGTCGGACACAACTGGACTAAATGTCAAGGGGAACCTTTACCATTACCTAGTTCTTTTAAAATTGTGCATTACATTTCCTCTTCCAAAACTCTGAACTTCTTGTAACACCCGTGAAACTGAAGTTGGAATTTAGCCAAAATCACTCCTATTGCAATACTGAGTGGTATTTACAAAGGTGTACGTTCCAATTCACTGCTCAGTTTCAGGGTTTCTTGGAAATTTGTTGTTAGTGACAGATTTGCTTGATTTGTGAAAATCTATATGGTTTTGGTGTAATACATTTTTACTGAGATGTTTATAACTTATATGCTTTTAGGTACGCCCTTTGAACACAGAAGGATCACTAAATATCCTAGGCCTAGAAACAGTTAGATTAATATATTTCAAAAACAAGATGGCGGGTAAGTAAAATTCTTCAGCTGTATTAATGTACATTGTTATGATCCATTCTGGATCACTGTTTTATTCAGCCTAGGATAGTGCAGCACTTTGCAAGTGGGCAGTCTAAAAAGTTTGACACTTTTTTTTGGTTTCACAAACATTTCAGACTTTTTTGTTTGTTTGTTCACTCTTTAAATGGTAATTCTCAAGTTTGTGAACGAAATTCTAACAGATAATTGTCCTGTGTGTCTTAGCTGAGGGGGAGGGGAAGGATATGGAGTAAAACTGGTTTTCTTAACACAATTCATTTTGCGCACACACCTTACTTCACAGGCTGAAATCCTTTTGCAAAGACATTTTATAAATGGGCAATCAGGCAAGGCATTCATTCTGCCTGTGCAGTTGGCCATCTATTGCTCTCCTGTGCTTCTACCAGTTCAAGCACTGGTGCTTCAACCTTGCCCAGTCATGCACCTGGCTGTGTGATGGAAAGTGAGCAAAGGGGAAAAAATTCTTGCGTGATTAGCCTTATTTGTATGGGTTTTTTTCCAATAAGATTTTGACCACTGATTTTGAAGTCTGTTTTTCTTTTATGCTCAGTTTGTTAATACTTGTAGTTTTATTATATTTGGTTCTGCTTAATTTTCCACAGATAAAACAAGATATCTATTAATATTTTTGAAAAATTAAAAGAGGCCAGTGTAGTGCTTAAGACAGCTAAAGAACATCATCAAAAAGATTAAAACTGATTAAGCAGATAGAGCAATAAAATGTTAAAACGAAGATCATTAGACCAATTAAAATACTCACTGTAGGCAGAAAAAATATTCAAGGGCAATTTTTTAAAAAATGCATTCTTCCTAAAAGTGGTGGCTACCTGAAAAAAAAGCAAAGTAGCCTTTTAAAAAGAGTGTTATACAGTGGTCCCTCGCTAGACAGTTACCCTGCATGACAGTTTTTTCACTAGACATTGGCTTTTTGCAATCGCTATAGTGATTCGCAAAACAGTGATTACTATGGGGGAATTTCGCTGGACAATATTTGGTCCCTGCTTCGCAAACCGATTTTCGTTAGACGACGATTTTGACAGCTCCCTCCGCGCTCGCAAACAGGTGTTTTTGGGACCTAAGCTGCGCAAGACAGCGATTTAAACAGCTGATTGGTGGTTTGCAAAGTGGCTTTCCTATGGCCGATCTTCGCTAGACAATGATGATTCTTCCCCATTGGAACGCATTAAACAAGTTTCAATCCATTCCAATGGGCAAAAGGTTTTTGCTAGACAATGATTTCGCTAAACAGCGATTTCAGTAGAACGGATTATCATCGTCTAGCGAGGCACCACTGTAAAATGATTTACCAGTAAATTTACACTGGAATGGAGGAAAAAGCTATTTGAGTTTTCTTTAGACCTGATCCATCCAAACTCACATTAAAATATAGCATTTAGTTTTTAAGATGCCACGATGTTTTTCTCTCTTTTCTTTTTGTTTTTTTTGTCTGATATGCTTCTAGACATAGAATATTGTCTTAGTTCAACCTGTGAACATCTCTTGTCTTAAACTTTCCCAAAGGAGAGTTGTAGGAATAAACGAGCAAGTAATTCTAAAATACTATAATCACAGTTGTAAAAATGCTTATTAAAGATCTGACCTCATTGAAGAAAATGAATGTTATTTCTATTTAAATGTGCATAGTTGTTCTGTCAGTATTCTGCATTAGTGTTGTAGAAGAAATTACAAATAATAGAATAAAGTTTTTTTTTAATTTATGGGGCTGTTATTTTGCTATTTACAGTATGTGTTTTTCAGGACATAGCCCACTTCTGCTAAGAAAGTCCAAGAATGCAGCATGCTTTTCTGTATTTCCTGTGTCATAATCTATATAAAAAGCAAAACACATAAAGAAGAGTGTTAGATGTGGTTCTTGAATTTACTATCTGCTTAAGATTTTCAGAATTCTAATCCTAGGTCCCATCATCCTTTTTGTGTAAATACAGTGTCCAGTGCGACAGCTTCCTGCTTTAGCAACTGTTGTCTCCCTTTTCTCCACTATCACAATGTCTTATTAGATCATCTTGCTTAATTGTTTCAATTTATGCTGTCCGAAAGCACAAGTCCCCAGGTAGCTCATTTCATTTTGCTTCACATGCCAAGTATTTTCCTTTATCTCTGTGGGCATTTTAATTATACTTTTGTTTTACTCATATTTGAATAATACAGTGAGATTGGGCTAATTCAATGTTAAACTCAGATTTCCATAATGAAGAGCCTTTTCCCTCCTTCAAAAAACAAATGGATATGAGCAGAGAACTGGAGATGAGCCTTAGCCCTTTCTTAACTCCCTGCCTGTAAAGATTCCCCCCCCCCAATCCTAACCTAACATTTTCCCCCGTATGTGTTTGAATCCCATGGGGTAAAAGCTACTGGAGTGCAAAAATACTCCACAAAAACAGAATTGAACTTGTTTCTCCTTTCATCACTTATTAGCTGCCAGTTCTCACCCTCCCAGCTATTTCTGTCTTTAAAGAATAACAAAACAATATTGTGGTTTTAATGCATGTTTTCACATAATCTGTCATTTAGCGTGGGATCACAATTCTGGTAATGCAGTTCTGATTTTATAATTTCTTCTCCATATTTTATTTAAGCATTATTTTTACATAATTTCCCTGATGCTCTTTGACTCATTCCCCAAAATATGGAAGAATACACAGCTGAATTTTTTTTAAAGTAACTTCATACAGAGCACGCTGGGTGCTTGTTTGTTTTTTTCCTAGAGGGTGATGAGTTGGTGGTTCCGGAGACATCGGATAACAGCCGGAAGCAGATGGTCCGAAATATCAACAATAAACGGCGTTACTCGTTCAGAGTGCCTGAGGAAGAGAGGATGCAGCAGAGGAGGTCGGTATTCAACCTGTACTTGTCTTCTGTACATGCCTGTAGACCCTGAGGATCTGTTTGTCTGCTGTCAACATGGTTCTTGGTTCATTAGAAAACGTTGATTTCTAGGCCATGTGTTCAGATATACCGTGTCTCTGTTCTTTCCATTTATTCTTTATATATAATTTGTATAAATGCTAGCCTGGCTCTTTAAATCCATTTTAAATTAAGTATTTATTCAAAACAATGACTGTAATTTGGAATGCATGCCTTCCTCATACTGTATATATGTACATTTGTGTGTGTGTGTGCATATACTGTAAATATAAAGATTGATAATAAAAAGTTTTACAAAAGAGAATTACATTCCTAATTATGCACATATATCGTTTTCAGAGTCTAGTTTTGATATTCTATTTCTTGGGCAGTTTCTGTCTTTTTCTGTCTAATAGTCTCTGTTATTCTGGTAGTAGTGATTACTTAGCTGTGATCTCTAAATTTTGTATAGTGTTGAAACCAGTTTTCCAAAGTCGTGCCTTGGAAGCTGATGTTACAGCTTGTATGAAAACATTCAGAAATTATCATAAGGTGAAGAAAATATTCTCAATAAACATGGTTCTAATGTTTCTAGCCATTCATAACTGTATAAAACCGTAGAAGACATTCACATTAAAAAGATTAAACACAATTATTTTCAAGTTACCAACCTTTTCACTGGCAATATCACCAAACCATCTGTCTTTCTTTCTGACTCTTACACTAGCACTAAACATAAGATTAGCACTAAGCTCAAGCACCATAATTTTATGCCTTCTATTTTTCTGAAACGCTGAACACTCTCTAAACATTTTGTTTTGTATCCAACAATGCATTTGCATCTCTCTTTCTGCAAGTTATTAAAGTAAGTGTGACAGTGAAATATGAAAGTTAGTACAATATACTTCTAATTCTTCTTTTTTTTCTGTCCTTCATCTCTGCCGCCATCTTCACAGCACCAGGTCATCATTGAGCCTACTTCTACACTTTTTCTTGAATGTTGTCTCAACTCCCTCCCGTAGTGCACTCTGAGCCTCAGTATCCATATGGACTTTTTATGGGCATGGGATGTTAAGCAAAACCACTGTTCTTCCTGACTCTTTCCCCTTTCATCAAGCTGAGAGCTGGCATAGAATCAGCATCAGAAGTTAATCATTCTTCTTTGAAACCTGGCCAGATGTCTGACTTACTGATTCCTATTTTAGAGTAACCTATATAAAAAATATATTTAACCCTTTTTTACTTTTCATTTTCTTTTTTACGAAGATTCTCATTTTTTAAATAAACTGACCTGAATATCTTCTCTTGCAGGGAGATGCTGCGAGATCCAGAAATGAGGAATAAATTAATTTCTAACCCAACTAACTTTAACCACATAGCACATATGGGCCCAGGAGATGGAATACAGATCCTCAAAGACCTGCCTATGGTAAGCTTGTGATAGCATGCCCAGAAGGGGCTGAAACTTGTGTTTAAAGAAAATGAAATAAACATGTTATCAGCTAATTTAAACTGAAGTTGTAATCCAACGACATTTGATCTTTACAGTTAGGGACTTGAGAATGATTATTGACAATTTTTTATGAGATGCAAATCATATAAATACCCAAAGCTGCTTTATATTTTATCTGGCCCTTTTCCATCTTATTGAGTAATGTATGCTTTGATGGAAAACAGCACTCTGGGATCTCAGGTAGAAATCTTTCCTAGCCCATGAGACAAAATTTACTGGAGGTGCTCCAATGTTCTGCAGGCGGAGCACATACCCCTTCTCTCTATGGATCCTTTGGCATACTCATGTCTCCTAAATCTAGCTGTTTTCCCTTACTTCTTGTGTTTAAAAGCGCTTGCCCTGATATAGTAAACGACAGTTCTCTGCATCTTACAGCTCAGAAGGACATTAATCAAGAGCCATGTACTGTTTCATTGTGCTGGGTGCTTCTTGTGGAAAGCTAAAATTGAATTCAGGCACCATGGTAATCAGTCAGGAAAATCTCTGCTCAAGGTTCGCAAGACTATTAACAATACTTGCAGGGTGGGGATGTGTCAGGGTTTTTCCTTATGCTACATTTCAAATACAAATGTCAAGTCCTCCAAAACAAACTTCTTGAGTTCAGCTTCAGTGACAGAAAAAGGGAAATATCTACAAGCCACAGAATTGTGAAAAAGAGATATATCTGCAAACCACAGAACTGGAAACAAGTCAAAAAAGTAATGAACCTAATCTGCACCACTACACATTTTTTTGTGGCCATACATCTGTGTGTTCCCTGGAGCTGCTGATCAGCTGACATTTCCATTTCCATTTGGGAAACAAATAAAATGAGAATGGGAAAAATAGGCTTCCTCTTCAAAAGAGTCTGTCATCATTTTATCCCTTCTGTTTAGGTCTTTGGTATACTGTTACCATCTTCTCTTTATTTTCTCCATGTCAGATAGTGTGCATCTCTCTTGATCATCCAGCATTCCTAATCTAATCTTGAATTTCCCTTTGATTTCATGGAAAGTAATATACAGTTATTATTCTGAGAAATCAGTTGGCTTCAGTTGAAACAATGACCACAGATATTTTCGCTTTTCCATCAAAAATGTAAGACTTTATATTATAAATGTGGAATTGATAAAATATCATTTCCCCATGTTTGAGGAACATTGTACTGTATCTCTATACCTGACAAAGATCAAGGAGATACTTCTGATAGCTACACAAAATGAGAGGTATAAAATGGAGGTGTGAAATAAATTCTTCCTGAATCTTACTGAGTCTACAAGGAGCCTGATATACATATGTGTGATGTGTCCTCTCTTCCCCTAACAAATTATACAAAGCTAGTGATGTTTCATTCTTATTTGTCTCTGTGCGCGCATGCACGATTGCACTTAACTAATAATTAATTCATTGAGGTAGCAAGTAGGAAGAGATGCAAACCATAGACTGTTGCCACCAAGTAACAGAAAACCTGCAGGATTCTCACCCACCCCATGTGGAAACCTTTGCATTGGAAACACAATTCACATGGTGGACACATGTAGAGAAACTAAGAATATGTATACAGTACATACCTGTGTACTTGTGAATACTTTCCTAGATGAACTCAAGATGGATAATGGTATTCACAATCTTCACAACATATTTGCAAATATTTCATTTCTTAATTTTGGAGTGTGAGTGTCCAGGATTTGGCCACAAGTTACTATTTTGTTTTTGTCAGGAAAGTATCAGGGAAGGAAGCTTGAGTTTTGGTTTAAACTATTTTAGTTCCAATATAGAGGTACCTAAGATAATGGGTGGCATCATCCAAGACACTTGATGACAGACATAATACAGAAAACTGTTCTAAAACAAATCTGTTGCTTCACCAGTGAGGCTACCTGCTGGATGGCACTCCTTTAAAAAGAATAGCTTCATATGTGTGTGTGCTGTCCTTTAAAATATATATATATACTTGCAGGGAGTGACCATGGAAATCGCTCTGAATTTGTCTGCTGGTATTTTTAATTTTCTGTAAAATGTTAATAGTGGACCTCTTTGTGGATCCAATTAACAATACTTAGTGTGTTTCCTCTTGCTAATGAGTTCAGTTTTTCTAAAGCAATTTTAAAGAACTGCTGAATAGCTCAGTACTTTACGTAGATATCCAGCTGCAGAACCAGAGGTTGGGAGTTCGATTCCCCCACTGCGCCTCTTTGAGAAGGGCTGGACTTGATGATACACAGGGTCTCTTCCTGCTCTGACGTTCTAAGATGATGATGATAATCCCGTTTTTAAAAGAAAATTGAAAATATTTGAATGCCTTGTATTTTGCCACTAGATGGTGTCCTGCACACAGGGTGCCATTTTAATTAACAATATGTTTAATAAATTTCATTTTTAAACTTTTTGAACAGTGAGGATTTTAATATTTAGCGAGTGAGCATGTATGAGTGCAAAATCAAATTAAAACTGCAGTCTTGCTTGAATCTTTGGTGCTTGTAGTTTCCTTAGCCACAGAATATCCTAAATGCAGTATCATTCTGAGGGGAAAATATGGAATATTCCATCTAAATCTTTCAAAGCAAACAAAAAGAAACATCTGTTCACACAACATACGGTTAAACTGTGGAATTTACTTTGACAAAAAGCAGTGAGTGACGCCAACTCCAAAGGACTTAAAAAGGAAATGGACAGATTCTGAGAGAAAAAGGATATCCATCGGGAGTAGTCTGAAAACTATATACTACCTTTCAGATTAGATGTATTAAGACTATAAACAGCAGTAGCAGACAACAACCACAAGAATAATTTATTCCCGTTATGGGCTTTCCATTGGGGCACGTGGTTGGTGATTAGGAGAATAAGGAACACGGACTACACAGGCCTATCGTATGAACTGGCAGGGCTCTTATATTCCTATGAATATATCTCTTTTTTATTTTATTTTTCATCACTATTAATTTATTGATTAATGTGTATAGTGGCAAAACAGGACAGAACATCTTCTCACAGAGTAAAAAACTAGATTAGACAAGCTTCAGGTTCCATCATCTCCTTAGGGGCTTTTGCAGATGTTAACCATAGTGCAAGGTTTTTATATTTACTATTCCAGACAAAAAAGGGCCTTTACCCTTTTGTATGGCCAGTAAGTTAGATATGGAAATACTTGAGAATGCAGCATATCAGAATATTAACACTATGGTGCCACAGAGAAGCAACAAATTGAAATTGTGAGTGTATCTGGACTGTCTTTAAAGTTCATTCTCATGTGTATTGCATTGCGGACATACCTCCTTGGAGGATGAAGTACAAAGACATCCACAGTGATAGTTAATGAACTTTCAACACTATCCCCGTTTGCTGGTGGCATTTTCTGAAATTCCTGAAGTAACTTCCCTGCTAAATTATGCTCAATCTTGAAAAAGTATTTTAGGTATTTACATTGCAAAGCTAGGTGCTGTAATAGCTTACTGATTTCACTGGGGCATGAATGGAAATACAGAAAAGTAACAATAATAAATGACTGCAAATTACACTATAATAAATGACTGCAAATTACACTATAAGAGTATAGTCACTGTTGAACACAGTAACATTGATTTCTTCAGGATATTGTATGATCCCAGTTTCTAGTATTACAACACAGAAGGAGAACAAATTTCTTCACCCACTCTGCCTTTACCCTGCATACTATTATATGCCTTTGTCAAATCATCCATTACTGGTTCATTGTTTGCACATTTCTGACTACAATACAGCCATAATTTGATAGGAAGAAGTAGGGGATCTCTTCCAAATCACATACAGTGGTGCCTCGCTTGATGAGGATAATCCATTCCAGCAAAATCGCTGTAGAACGAAATCGTCGTTAAGTGAAAGTAAAAAGCCCATTGAAATGCATTTAAAACTGCTCAATGTGTTCCAATGGGCGAAATACCTCAGCGTCCAGTGAGGATCCTCCATAGGGCAGCCATTTTCCGGTGCCTGTAAGGTGAGGAATCCGTCCTAAAACACAACGGGGAGCCATTTTGCACAGTGGGCAGCCATTTTGAAACCCCGACAATCAGCTGTTTTGATTGTCGTTAAGTGAAAAATTGGTTCCCGAAGCAGGGAACCGATCGTCAAACAAAAAACCCCATTCAATCATCGTTTTACTATTGCAATAGCGATTGCAAAAAACTTGTCAAGCGATTTCATCTAACAAGGTAATCGTCAAGCGGAGCACCACTGTATTATACTTTTTCTACATGAAGGTTACTTCTGTACAGTAGTGCTTAGTAATGTGTCTGTAGAGGAAAATCTCAAGACCAGCACATGTGTAAGACACAGGTCACTCAGCAAGTCAGCTTACATGAGCTGCAAGCCAATGTCTGTGCCCGTTATGTTTTTGGTTTAGGAAAAGTATAATGAGTGAAGTGATATGTGCATGGAATTTATAGTAACTCACTTACACACTTTGCTTGGATTTGCAAATAGAACTTTTTTCTCATGAATGCCCCTTTCATATTTTAACTCTTCTCAAATCTCATTTGCCACATTTTAATTATTTTATATGCACTGTATATTGCACAGTAGTTTGTACCTTGCTTGGTGGGTGTGTTTGATGTCTTCTACTCACTGACATATGACAAGCCTAGGAATTAATGACCTCTGAAAGGATGGGGTATCTGTGTGGCAAAGAACATAATTCCTCAGTGGGGCAAAGGACATAGATTCATGCATGTAAGTTTTGTTGAAAAGGTAGACCATATTCTTATGTGGTTGGTGTATATCACCACTCATTTGTGGCATTAAAGGAAACTACATTTGGTCTTTAACTCACCATGTTCAGGCCAATATTTAATCTTAACAGAACCCCCAGGCTGTTTGTAGGAACAGAAATGACATGGTTTCCATTGGGCTTATAAATTACATATTCTAATGAGATTGGATTTGTTATGCAAAGATGGCTCATC